TCAACCGTTATCATCTCATGTACACACAGACTAATTACTAAAATTCTGCAGCACACACACAAATATTTTTTGCCAATCTGACAAAAAAAAAAAAAAAAAAAGAGGTATAATTTTTATTCATTTACACCAGACAGCTATTGTGTTGGCCCTTGTCACTTTTTTATTTTACAATCTAAGGGAAAAGAGATCAGTGCCCCTGACTAAACAGTCGAGTATTGCATGTTTTTAAAATTCTTGCATCACTCTGGTTGAAAATCCCTGGGCTAGAGGAGTGTCACTTAATAGGTGATGTTTGCACACTCTTCCTCATGTGTCTTCAATTATCCCCATAATAAAAATGTGAAACCGACCGAAAAGTAAAATCGACCCACTCCCCAGCCTCCCTAACAGTCATGGGTGGCGATGGGACCCTTTTTAGAGGGGTAGGCAGAAATCCTTGGGGCAGGCCTTCTTGTTTTTGTTCTGCCCTAGTCTTTCTGACTCAATATGCTCACTGAGCCTACAAGTGTAGTGGCCACCTTGCAACCAGAAGGATGCAAAGGGTCTTTCTGAGGCTAAGAAGTACCTGGTTCACTGAGGGTTCCCCTAAACAGCTGCACCAGCCCTGGATTTTTATATTAAAAATATATACCTCCCCACCCATTGTTAAGCTGCTGTTTGGTGGGGTTTCCATTACTTGCTGCCAAACACACTCACGGATCTGAATTCGTTATCTCAGTAAGGGCTATCTAATAGAGTTGAATGAAGAAAGGCTTATGGGGATGGATAGGACCCTTTAGGAGACCTGGACATCCAAACCCAACAACTCCTATGAAGCTCCCACTACACTGGTGCTGGTTATTGCTGCCACCTAGCGGCAATGTTTTAGAACGTAAAACACTTTCTGGCCATGAGCTGTTTTTCCTGCAGCTCTTCTTTCCTTCCATCTCATTAATTTACTCACTCATGTGCTCATTCTACTATATATGGCAGCCCCTCATACATGCAATAAGGAAATGAAATAATTAGGGGGAGTCCAGCCTAGCCCCTTGAAACTTACACACGTAGGGGAAGATAGCCATTAACCAAATTAAAAGATGAAAAACTGTGACAGGACAGGGCTACAAGAGTAACATGCTGCTAGAAGAATCAATGATAGGGCTTTGGTTTGTAGAGGAAATTGGTGGGAGGTCAGAGAAGCTTTTCCTGAGGATGCTCTGATTGGCCTGAGATCTCAGGAGTAACCAGTCAGGAAGGGAGTTTGCTGGGCAGTGAGAGCAGTCATGAAAATAAGCTGCAGTGGGGGGTGAGAGTGAGTTGTGTGCAAGGGAATAAGAGAATATTGTGTTCAGATTAGTGCTTGACTCTAGGTATTCTAGTTTCTGAATTGAGAATTTGTTTATTATTGTGACCACAGAATTATTTTACCTTGAGAATGAGCTTCAAAGATATCAGCTAACAGGTATCTACAGAACATTCACTCAACCCCACAATAGCAGATTACACATTCTTCTCAAGTACACACGGAGCATTCTCCATGACAGACCATATGCTCAGCCACAAAACAAGCCTTGATAAATTTAAAAGGACTGAAACCAAAGTATATTCTGACCACAATGCAAGGAAATTAGCAACCACTTGCAAGGACATTCTGGGAATTCCAAGTATGCAGAAATTAAACAACATTCTCCAAAATAACCAATGGGTCAAAGAAGAAAAGGTATAGATGGCCTATCTTCATGCATGAGCAGGGAAAGGGCTTCCCCACTGGCAGTGGGGCAAAATAAAGATGTTTTCTGGTTACAGCCCATGAGTTCTGAGTATTCATTTTACTGTTTACATTTAAAAACACTACAAATCAGTATGTAAAAATGCAAGCATCACCATACAAAAATAAGTCATATTGGGCCCAACCAGTGTGGCTCACTGGTTGAGCATCGACCCATGCACAAAGAGGTCACTGGTTCGATTCCCTGTCAGGGCACATGACTGGGTTTCAGGCTTGATCTCCATCAGGGGGCGTGCAGGAGGCAACTGATCAATGTTATTGTTTCTCTCTCATGGATGTTTCTATCTCTCTCTCCCTCTCCCTAAAATCAATAATAATAAAAAAATTCCAACAAGGTTAGAAAATGATTTTCCTGGTGGTTAAAATATTGCTCTTTAATTCAGTTGAAGAGGTCCTGTCTAATATACTTAAACCAGAAAGCCAGTGCTGAACTTAACTGAATACTTTTACTGAAATAAAATAAAATAAAAATGAGTCATATTGGGATTTTACTACAGAACATAAAAAAAAGATTCAGTAACACTATCTGTTAATGAATTAAAGTGAGAACTTTTCATATAAGATTATTTTATTAAAGCTTGCATTTTAAAGTTTTTATAAATTTAAATATGATAAAGTCTCAAGTTCTAGGTATCATAATATGAATTATTCAAAGCCAATGTACAATGGAATATTCAATTATGGTATAATATGCTTTAATGTAACTTGTATATAATAAAACAAAGCTTATAAAAATTCTTTACTATCTTGATTATAATTGAAATACATTAACTTAAAATAAAGGGAGTCAAATAGTAGTATGTTAACAATGAAATAAACAAAGGTGGGAAGTCCACTGGGGAAACTAAGACAAGTTGGAGCCCTGGCCGGTTTGGCTCACTGGTTAGAGCACTGGCCCGCAAACCAGAGGGTCCCGGGTTCGGTTCCCACTGAGGGCGTGTACCTTGATTGCAGTTTGTCCCCCACCCCAGTTGGGGTTGTGTGGGTGGTGGCCAGTGGGCGTGTCTCTCTCACATTGATGTTTCTCTCTCTCTCTCTTCCTCCCTCTCTCCCTCACACTCTATCTGAAGATGAATACAAAAATGTCCTTTAGCCCACACAATTCCTTGTTGTTATTAATTTTCTGTTAGGGCGAAGCAAGTTAAAAAAAAAGAAAGATGGCTTTGTTGTGAGCACTGAAGACAAGGGAGAGGCATAAGTAAAAGAAAAGTCCCAAGTTTCTGACATAAGCATCTAGCAGACTGGCAGGGGCATTTTACAAGCTCTAGAGGAGTAGGGAGATCACAAGCTGAGTGCATTTTGGAAATGATGAGTTAGAGGTGCCCAGGAATCATAAATTATTGTTGCAAGGTGTCAGACAGACCTTGGAACAGAAGGTAATCTAGAAAAAACAAAACAAAACACTGTACAGTAAGTCTTTTCCCATCTCCCACCACAAATAAAACTAAAGGGAGTTTCCATTTGTTTGGGACCCAGGAAGTAACTTCCTCGCTGCACCACAGATTTTCTAAAGACTTTTCTAAGATAAAAATATGTTCATCATATGCAATTTATCCCTAGAGAAAAATGTACAAAAGAAAATGGAATCACCTATAATTGTATCACATACAGGGAATCACTGTTCACATTTTAGAGCTTGCCCTAATACACTTGTTTAAATACATAAATAAATAAAAAATGTCACCACCTAAGGCATAATTGTATATTTTGCAACTTAGTACTGCATAAGGAGTAACCTCCTATGTCATAACAATTTCTTATGACCATCATGGTAATTGTAAAATATTTCCAGCTAACGAATGTATCATAATTCATTTAACATTTCATGTATGTGTTTAAGTAAAAAAGCAAGAGTAAATTATCAATCTTAGTCTGAATTTCTGATCATTTCTGCATTCGTGGGTACGAATGAGTATGAATGTGTTCGAATGTGTTCAAGCCTCTTGGTGCTCAAAGCAGTCATTCTCTTAATAGCTATAGCACTTGCCAAGCAGTGACTCATGACCAGGAACTATACAAGATGCTGGGGAAATGGCAGTAAACACAAAAAGAACATTCCCTGTCTATGAGAAGAGCATTTGCTACTGGGGCAGACAGATATTTAAGAGTAAAAAAATAATTAGCAAGCAAGGGCTAAAATAGAAATTGACAGAGTGTTAAATAGACATAACAGTGAAAGGAAGAGAGTGACACTTTCAGAGACAGTGTGACATGAAGGCCCCACAATAAGATGACCTTAAGACAAATTCCCAGCCATTGCATCTTCTAGGGGTAGGGCACTTCAGACAAAGGGAACAAGTACAAATGCAAACACACAAGAAAAGACTTGGCCTGTTTTGTAAAGTGAAAGAAGACTGGTGTCCTTAGAGTGTGCTTAGCCTGGGGGAACAGTTCCATCTCAGGGTGAGATTTAGGAGTCAGATCATGCATAGTCTAATGGGCCAGGGCAAGGAGCCTGTTCTTTGAGCAAGGGGTAGGCAGTAGGAAGAGATAGGATCAGAAACTATGTTTTGAAAACTCTCATCCTGATTGGTATGTGGGGTTGGGGCTAGGTAAGAGTCCTAATAGAGAGACCAGTGAGGAGGCAGCAGCTGTAATCTATGAGGAGGGTGAGGAGATAGAGAGCTAAAATAATTTGGTATATACTTAGGAGTATGTGGAGGATACAAGCACATGGCAGCTAACTATCAAATAGTTATAGGAAGTTGAGGAAAAGGGGGCAGGCAGGTGACTGAAGATATTTTCTAAACTGTGTGCATGAGAAAATGGGTGGATGCTGGACAGTATGGTACTATTTATTATATAGATGAGGGCAGTGGCAAAAATAAATCCTTTTAGACATATTAAGAATGAGTTGCCTGTTAGACACCAAGTTGAGATATCAAAGACACAAATGGTAGTGGAGTTGGAAGTGGGAGATATTGGTTGCTGGGAACCATCAACTTGGGAGTATCAGTAGGAATGAAGTGTCAAGGGGGAGCTTCTTACAGTTAGCAAGTGGCAGCATGTTTATATTATAAAACTGATAGGAATAATGAGAAAGAGAGAGAGAGAAATTGAAAGCACAGGATAGAGAAGAGTACTGAAAAACTAAGGTCCTGAGAGAAATCTGGGAGACAGTATAGAACATGCCTCAGAGGTATTTCTACTAAGGTGTGTGGAAGTTGGGAAATTTATTTACCAACTCACATCACTCACTAGCATTTCCGGTCTGCCTTGGATTTGGGCTCAAATGATTGTGGTGAGCAGAGAAAGGCATCAGGCAAAGACTCCTGAGTGCTCGCAGTTAGAAGCCATTGAGTTGGCATGTACAGCAATGGTGAGTCCCAAGGATGCATGGGGTACCAAGAGGGTCTTCTTCTCGGTCCTGGTCTATGTTTTCTTCACTTCTGAGTCTCTAACATAGAGAAAAAACGGAAAACAAGAACAACTCTGATTGATAATGAATAGGTGTGGAGAGACAAGAAAGTGTTTTAGCCATAGCTTGTGCTTCCACAGACAGACAGACCTGAATTCGGGGCTCACTTGTTAACCTCTCTGGGTCTCAGTGACCTAGTCTTTAGGATGGTGGGAAGAAAGTAAAAAGGATAGGGCTTCTTTACAATTCTTATTTTCAATTATTTGAATTTATCGGTAAGGGGATTCCCCTTTGTTTTCATTAGATATATCAAAGCATTTCAAGTGGTATTTATCTGCCATCTAACCAATTCAACTTGTTACATTATAAGTCTTTTGAGTATCCACTCTTTGCTGGTCACGGTTCGAAGCAGTTTATATAGGTCTAACCACCATAGCCATCATCTGAGGATGTTAACACGATTCCCATCTTGTAGGTGAAGATTCTGGTTCTGAGAGGTGATATTTAGGCGAACTCGGAGTCTTGACTTCCAACACTCGATTCTTAAACTGCAGGGCCGCGAGAGGGTGACGGCTGTCTCCGCAGGACTCTTCCCTCAGCAAATAAGGCGGCTGCTGACGCTGACCCGAGAGCACGCGAGGCTGTCCTCCAAGTTCGGCCCGTCAGCCCGGGTTCGCTTTGCTCTCCGGATCCGTAAGCAGCGCCGGAGAGGGCATGAGGGTTCTGGCGGGCACCCACCAATCTGAGGTTTCTACGCCCACACAATTCCCTGTCGTTATTAAGTTTCTGTCAGGGCGAAGCAAGTAACGGCCGACCACAACCCCGCCGGCAGCCGCGGCTTCCCCACGGCGACGCCACCGTCGCAGGCGCGCTGATATCCGTTGGTTCCGGCGGCCAGTTTGACGTCACTTCCGCCGCCGGCACCGCGGCGCGCGCGCCTGTAGTCCTGCGGCGGCCGGCGATGTACCCGTGGAGCTGCGCGGACTCGGAGCAGAGGGGGACCCTCGCAGAGGGCATCGGCGAGAATGCGGGGCCCGCAACACGGCGGGGAGGTGGGGAGCCCGCAGCTGTCGTCGCTGTTGTGACGGAGCCTCGGTTTACCCAGCGGTACAGGGAATACCTGGAGAAGGAGAAGCTCCTGGACAGACAGCACCGCGTGGAGAAGATGCCGGGTGGCGCGGTGGCGCTCCCGGTGCTGGGAGAGGCGCTCCCCGAGCGGCACCTGCGGGAGCTGAGGGAGCGTGTGGCTCCGGGCAGTACCTGTGCGCTAACGCGGCTCCTGGCTCCCGGTCCTTCAAAGAAGGCCCAGGGTTGCTCACCTGCCCGAAGGCTGTGCCTTGAGGTGAGACGCTGGGTAGAGAGCCGGGGAGTGACATGGGCAGCCGAATTGGAGGCTGATTTGCCCCGATCTTGGCAACGACACGGTAACCTCTTGTTGCTGAGTGAGGACTGTTTCCAAGCCAAGCAGTGGAAAATTCTGGAACCAGAACTCTGGAAGATTGTTGCCTCGGCACTTGGCGTCCAGCGTTTAGCCAAACGAGGGCGGGTGTTATCGGATGGCACTCGAACTCCAGCAGTGACTCTACTGCGGGGCGACGATGGCTGGGTTGAGCATGTGGATAATGGGATCCGATATAAGTTTGACATAACCAGATGCATGTTCTCCTTTGGAAACATCACAGAGAAGCTTCGAGTGGCATCGCTGCCCTGTGCTGGACAAGTGCTGGTGGATCTCTATGCAGGGATTGGTTATTTTACGTTGCCCTTCCTAGTTCATGCTGGTGCTGCCTTGGTCCATGCCTGTGAGTGGAACCCCCATGCTGTAGTTGCTCTGAAAAAGAACCTTGAGATCAACGGAGTAGCAGATCGGTGCCAAATACACTTTGGGGATAACAGAAAATTGAAGCTCTCAAACATTGCAGACCGGGTGAACCTGGGGCTGATTCCCAGCTCTGAAGAAGGCTGGCCCATTGCCTGCCAAGTGCTACGAAAGGATGCTGGGGGCATTTTGCATATCCACCAAAATGTGGAATCTTTCCCAGGGAGGAATCTCCAGCCTTCTGGAAACAGTGAAATAGAGAAGGAGCATTGGCCTTCTCCTCAACAGATTATCAGCAGCCAGTGGGAGAATGGAGCTACCAGGGATTCTAGGAAAAAAGTGCTGGCAGCAGCCATCAAGCCAGAGTGGCACAGGTGGGCAGAATATGCAGAAACTCGAATTGTCACTCTTCTTCATCAGGTGCACGGGAAACTATGGAAGACACAAATCTTGCACATTCAACCAGTGAAATCCTATGCTCCCCATGTGGATCACATAGTCCTGGATCTGGAATGCCGCCCCTGTCCTTTGGTTGGCTAGAGAAGGTAGATCCTGAGACATGAGGATCTACGTGTGAGTGATCCTTAATGCATCAGCTTAGTCTGGGTTCTCACTTCTCTTGTCTCTGGGTAATCTATTGTTTATATTATGTGGCCCTGAAAGTAGGCTGTAGATCCAAATCATTGCATTTGTTTTCCATTGATCACATTCAGAATGAGCTACATATCTGGGAGAAGCAGTATGAAATGAGGCCCATCTGTGCAATCATGAATTCCGAATTCTGACCTCAATTCTGTCTGACCTCGGGTACATGTTTTCAACATTCTTTTGGCTTTGGATTTCCTTATTTGTAAAAAGAGGGCTTCTTTGAACTATCCCACATGGCTTTTATTTAATAAGCAGTTGTACACAGGGCATTGGTTAATTTCAGAGTGAAAGTCAGGGCTGTTTCCAAAATCACTCTGGTTGCAATATGGAAAATCAACTGGAGGGTAGCCAGGATGGAAGCAGACCAGTGAGAAGGTTTCTATGGTTGTCCAGGAATGAGGTGGTGGTGGCAGTGGGAGGTGGATGGATTTGAGAAATAAAATCGATGCTACTAAGCAATGGAGTCCATATCAAGGCATTATGATGGTGCTTTGTTATCATCACTAACAAAATAGGGAGAGAAGAGGACAAAAGTTACTCTAGTGTATTAACTCTATTCCCCTACTTTGGCATTTCTAAATGAGTGTTGGGGGGTGATGTCATAAATATTGTGGTAGAAAAAGGGATAAAATGACTGCTTTAAATAATATGGAAACCAGATTTTCAGTCTCAAGCTTGTGCAATAGCTATCAATTGCTAGCTTTTTTTTTTTGTTACTATAGGATATGCTTATTGATTTTAGAGTGAGGGGAAGGAGAAAGAGGGAGAGAGGGAGAGAAACATTGATGTGAGAGAGAACATCGATTGGTTGCCTTCCATATGTGCCCTGACCTGGAATTAAACTCGGGGCCTTTCGGTATACAGTATGATGCTCCAACCAACTGAGCCACACCAGCCAGGGCATGCTAGCTATGTTTAAAGTTCAAATTAAAACCTTAGCTTTTTAAAGGCCTCTGACTGCTTTTTCATCTTCCCTGGCCAACAACACCAGGACCACATAAGGAGCTATAGGGAATGTGAGGTGTTCAGCAGAGTTTTTCAGGCCTCAGTTTATTTTATGGCTGCCTGCCATCACCATTGTTTACCTATCCTTGGGATGACTAATTGTAGAGAACCACTCTGTTTACCTTTGGCATGACTAATTGTGGAGAATCACTTCTCAGACTTTTATTTAGGTGCACTCTAAAGCCATCTGGGCTTTTTTGCCTGATGAAGAAAAGCATGTGGCTTTATCAGGATTATGCTTGTATCTGGCATTTGGATGGCTGGGGTTGGGCTGGACTGCTTGTCCTTGCAACAGTGGCAGTAAGGACAGGATTGGTGCTGTTTGTGTTATTCTGAAAGTACTGAGTGTCTGTTATATACATGAGCCACAGGAAATATATTCATTAGACACAGTTCCTGTTTCTGAGGAGTTCACACCCTAGCAGCTGAAATAACAAACATTCAAGAGAACTGGAATTTGATAAGTGCCATATGCATGATAGCTTGTTGTAGGGGTGCAAAGATGGGGAAGAAAAGTTCTGAGGAATGAATGGAAAAGTCTTTAGAGAGGTGGTGTTTGAATTGGCTTTTAAAATCTGGGTAAAATTTTAATAAGTGGAACCGTGGTGGAAATATGCTAGTTGAAGAGAATAATAGGTGCAGAAGTTTAAATGCTCGGAAAATGTTTGGAACATTGCCATTAGATCAGTTTGGAGAAGAGGAAGCAGTGAGGGATGTGATGAAGGTGGGGGCTGTTGTAAGGATTAAAAAAGAACAAGTGTCTTGTACACGGTATGCCCCTGGGAAATGTTAGCTATCATGTGATCCCACCACAAAAGTGGCCTTGCTGTGTTTACCTTAATTATCTCTTCTTAATAATATTGTATTTGTTCTCACATGTGTGCCTATGGCTTTCTTGCCTCAAACTAAAGATGTCAAGCTGGGCTTGAGCCAACGTGTGGAGGAAGGCAGGGGACAATCTGTGAGGAGAATGAGTCACAGCCACATGTCCAAGGGCTGAGGAGTTACCTTCCTGCCCTAAGCTATGGATAGGCAGCACCCAAATGAATTCATTCAACCTGATGTTTATCTCAGGCCCTGAGTGTTCAGTGGTGAAAGAAGATTGACATGGGTTCTAAAATTTTAGGGTCCAGTGGTCTGCTTGAATGCCAAGATTCTTCCTTCACAGTAAAGAACACATTTTTGTGTCTTACCTACTCATTTTATCAATATTTTTCTGCCAGCAAGGAAACACACTGAGCTCTGTAGGCTTTGTGGGAATTCAGAACTTGGGAATACTACTCTGACTCATATATTGGGTGACAGAAGGCTGCCAGTTTTCAGTGCGATCCAGAGCATGTAAAGCTCTGTAGCAGGTACAGACTGCAGTGTAATTAGTCTTGTTGCATGGGCCATTCATTCCAGGGGATTCTATGGGACCGTAGTATCTGATAAGCAGAGCTGCCATGGGAATGAATGGCAAGCTCCAACAGAGAACTGCAAGGTAGACATCTAGGGTTCTGTAGCAAGGCCAGGCTATCTGCAGCAGAGAACCACACGTCATTAATACATGGCTCCTTACATGCTCATGGGCCTTGGTAGGAACTGAGCATTTCATGCAACAGCAAATGACCTTGTAGCCAGAGTTGTCCATCATGGGCTGGGTTTTGTCAGACCCCCCAAGTCAATCCATCATAAGATGGAAGAGGCACATCTGGAACTGATGACAAGCAGGGCCAGAATAAATACATGGGCACACAGGCAGGTGGCCCAGACTCACATGTCATACTTCTTGCACCAGTGCCCCTCCCTCAGCTCAAAATTATAGCTGCTTGAGAGGCTCTTATGTCTAGCTGAAGGAGGACAAAAAAGCCAGAGGTAAGTTCATTGGTTGTTTTTTTTGGAATACAGGTTCAAAACAAAAATCTGCTGCTGCCCCACAGCCCTCCTCAGGAGTGGTCTGAAAAGACAATAGTGAGGGCAATCTTCCCCAGAGGTGGAATTTGGGGGAAATATTCCTCATCATCCACATTGTGTGGAAAGAGAAGTGGCCTGAAGGAAGACTATACTTTCATGGCAAGTGGCAAATAGGTTAGCTAGTTAATCAGGGGTCTGAAATGGGAAAGATTGGGAGATCAGGGACAAGGAAGCTGGGGAAGAAGCAGTGGAGAAATCTGTGGGATTGGGCACATGTGTAAAGAACTTTGTGCTATGTAACAGTGCCTACCAGAGACAGTCTGTTATGGAAAAGGCAGTCAACAACCTTGTAAACAAAAGACTCAGCCAGTTAACTTTAGCAACTATAATAATCAGCTACCCAGTAACATCATAATGGTCTCGTGAACATAGTAGTCATGTTGCAGAGACGCAGGTTAGCAAGAAGCTATCAGCATGGCTTCCACTCACCAAGTAGCCACTCCCTAAAGTTCAACACTGAGCCCTTGATACAACACCATCCCTTAGGAAATCAAACAGCTGCTTGGTAGCAAGTTGATTACATTGCACTTCTATGCTGGTAGAACAGATTCACCTTGACTAGAATCTTCCCATCTCCAGATATAAGCTTGCCTTTCCTGCCCACAAGATGTTGGCCAGCACTACTATTTAAGGGTTTACAAGTGTTCGATCCATTAATATGTACCCTACATAATACTGCTTTTGACCTAGGGTCCTACTTTACAGCAAAGGAGGCATTTCAGTGGGCACATGACTGTGGAATTCACTGGTCTTATCACACTACACAACCTAGATAATGTTGGTCTGATGGAATGATGGAAAAACCTTTTGAAACTGATAATACCACCACTAAGACAAAATTTACACTCTAAATCAACAGCCATTATATAGTGTCATGTCCCTTATAGATAGAAAATGTAGGTCTGTGAATGAAAGGGTAGAAATAGATTTCATTAGAGTGGACTAAATAGTGACCCCAAAATAGTCTACAACCTAATATCCAGAACCTGTGAATATGTTCTCTTACATAGTAAAAGGGACTTTGCAGATGTGATTAAGTTAAGGATCTTGATGGGGAGATTACTCTGCATTATAATGTTTAGGCCCAATAAAGTCTCAGAGGTTCTTACAAGAGGAGACAGGACCAAGTTGTAGGAGATGGGATAACTGAAGCAGGTGGATGGAGTAATGAAAGGAAAGGGCTACAAGCCAAGGAATGTAAGAAATGGGTTCTCTCCTAAAGCTTTCAAAAGGAACACAGTCTTGTTGATAACCTTGGTTTTAGACCTCTGACCTCCATAACTGAGAGAATAAGTTTGTGTTGTTTTAAACCATCCTTTGTGATAATCTGTTGTAGCAGCAATAGGAAATTTAACACACCCATTTCATTTATTGTCCCCACTAACACACATGGGGAGTTTGTGTTTCCCATATAACTTTGTGAGTCTAGAGGACTGGTTCTTAATGGAAACTCTTTCATCAGGAGACACAATATTAGACCCTTTAAACTTTAACCTACTGAGATTTCCCATTCATTTCAGGCTCCTTGTGCCAAGAGACAAGAAATAGTTACCGTCCTGGTTGAGGTCATCAAATCTGATTATCGGGAGGAAGTAGGGTTATTGTTGCACAAGGGCAGAAAGAAATGTATTTCACACTCAGTGTATCCTAGGATGTCTCTTGATATGTCCCTACTCAATATCAGGAGTAAAATGGGAGCCTTCCAGAATGGCAGAATAAGGACCTCTGAAAACTGGCTCCTCCATAAAAGCAGTGGGAACACTGGCAAAAATGATCAAAATCAATTTTTTCAGAACTCTGGAAAGTAACTAAAGGCTTACAACAGTACGAGGAACATTTATTAAAAATAAACAGCTAAATCTTGATTGAAAAGAGAAGCTTCTGGCCGTCTAACTTGCCCTATTGCCACCCCCTGCCCCACCTCTAATACGATGTTAAGTTGTTCCTATCTTTAGAGAGAATGCCTCCAGTGTGTTTCACCATTAAGTGACATGCTTTGTTAGGCAGTATCCAGAGTCTCATTATATTGTTGTTGTTGTTGTTGTTTAAATCATCCTTTTCCCACTGTACTGTCACTTTTATCGTAAACCATATGTATATGGGGCTGTTTCTAGACTTTCTCTTCTGTTCCACAGGTGAGTTTTTCTACTCATGCAACAATACTATCTTGTCTGAATTGTTATAGCTTTAAAATAGGTCCTGGTAACTGATACCGAAAGTCCTTCAACTTTGTTCTTCAAGATTGTGTTATTCTTGATCTTTTTCATTTTCTTATGAAGTTAAAATCAGCTTGTCAAATTTTGGAAAAAAGAACCTGCTGAGATTTTTTTGTTGGGATTACATTGAACCTATAGGGTAAAATTCACATTGTTACAATATTGAACCTTCCATCTTGAAGCTTTTATTCTACACAGTTGCATGTAGCTATAAAATGAGAAGTAATTTTTTAAAAAGTAAAATGAGAAATGACTGTCAGAAGCCGGGACTACAGGATCCCATCTAAGGTGAAGGGTTCTATACTTTCCATCTGTTAGTGGGATATTATATCCATCTTCTCTGGGCTTCCAGCCTTGATGGATGTTTTTATTTTAGTATTATTTGTACTCTTCCTCTCAATGGTATCTCAGCCCTCAGATTATTCTTGACCATCACTCTAGATGATTAACATATTTGAATCTATCATCTATTTATATTCTAATATAAATTAAGTACTA